CTTGAACGTATCGCCTGTTTCATCCTAGGACCCTTGCCACGAACTGCTGATGGTAACAAAGACATTCTCATTGTCATAGATTACTCACCATGTGGCCTGTATCTTATTCCTGATCAAGAGGCTATCAGGGTAGTAGAGGTAATGATACAGTATTGAATTCCCAGGTCCGGAGTGTCTCTTCAGTTACATTTCAATCAAGGAAGAAATTTTCCATCGCCTGTAATTAAAGAACTGTGCAAGCTTACTTGGTGTGGACAACACTCAAATGACACCTTTACATCCTCAGTCAGACACCATGGTAGAGAGGTTTAATCGAACCATCCTTAACAACCTCTCATTGGTGGTTTCCAGAAACCAACAGGACTGGGACAAGAAGTTACCTCTGTTTTTACTGGCTTACTGTAGTGCTGTCCGCAAGACTACTGGCTATTTCCCATCTCAGATGATCTTTGGTCGTGTCCTTCATCTGCCTTGTGATCTCTTGTTTGGTCACCTTCTGGATGTGACTTCATCGTCTGATGAATACATCAAAGATCTAAAGGCCCGGTTTGAAGTGATGCATAATTTTCCACAAGAGCAAGTCAACTTGGCGACGGAGAAGACGAAGACCCGATACGACACCACAACTACTGGACATTGATTCAAAGGAGACAAGGTGTGGTCAGAGTCTATAGCTAGGGTTTTCAGCGCCCAGGGACAACTGAAGATTTTGCGCCCCCTACTGCTTGCCAAAGATGGAAAACATTTAATTCTAAAATGTCGTAACATCAGTTTGGCGCCCCTTGGATTCTGCGCCCGAGAACAGATGCCCCCCTCTAGCTATGCCCCTGGGTGTGTCGTGGAATCCAACTCGATAGGAAGGACTCAGTCCTAAACTACGGTCACCGTGGGATGGTCCTTACGCAGTCCTAAATATGCTGAATGATGTCGTAGTTTGGATCCGTAAATAATTGAATTCTAAGCCTAAAGTCGTTCATTACGACAGGCTAGGTTCATTACTATGGCCATACTACATAGTGTATATAATGCAAATAATCTAAGACCATAATCCTATTTGTTTCTAAATTTGTGCACTCATTTGTTGATTTAGTATTTGATTTGTTTTAAGTTATTTATTGCAATTACTGTTTATTGTTTATGTTATTATACTGTAATGTTTATTATTGCATTGATGTCTTAGCTTTAAGTATGGCTTCCTGTCCAGAGATTCCACTGCATTGAACATGCAGTCCTTAGGAAGGGGGCAGTGTTACGAATTTATATTTAGGTAGCTAATTTTAGTAGAATTATAATTCCCTGTGCAATGCAGTGCAAGACAAATTTTAAGAGAAAGCTATGTCGGAAAAGTAAAAATAGAAAAGCATGTGCATCTAACATTAAGTAAATGAATATCTCGATAATTTGCATTGAAATTGAATAAATGTAATTGACAACTATGTTAGCTGTAACAGTATTTCTACACTCTGTTTGCTTTCCAGAGATCTCTAGAAGCATAAATTAGTAGAAAGTGCGGCCGGTTGAAAACTATTTAAGGCCGAAGAAAGAGCATCTCAGTTCAGTTGCTTAGTTACTGTTGCTGGGAGTTATTATTTCTGCGTCAATTAAGAAATCGGAGCTAGCTTTCTCTTTAGATATGCTGCACATTGCATTGTATTTTAACGTTTTCAGTAATTTGAAGTATAACTACTGCTGATACTGCGTGACATTGTGAACACTTGTATGAATATCTCCGAGGAAAATTCCAGCATTCTGTTATATTTCTTTTGATAAGGATAAAGTTTATTAACCTTTTATCGGACTTGTGCATTCAATCTATTACGAACTCGTAAGCACTCAGTTATATAAATTACTACAAACACAAATTAAAAAAATTTCATGATATACTGAACCTTCTTTATTTTTTTAAATTATTTTTTTTTATTTTTAAATCTTTTTTTTTTTTTTTCTTGTTTCCAACATTATTTTTTGCTGATCCTGATTCAGCTGACTTTTTAATATGATTTGATTGAAATAAAAGAAAACATAAATGTCTTTATAACATTTTTGCTTTTTTTTGTTTGACTGAAGGATAATGCAGTGCTTTGAAAAGCAGAGCAATTTTTCTTTACTTTTAATTCTAGATAGAAAATAGCATTTTGCAAAAAATTGAAATCTAATGCATAAAAAATAAACCGTCAACTTAGCAGGATGTTGTATAATAAAATAATAGTTTATTTTTAATACAACTGACTTCCAAATCAAATAAAAGTTACTAAAGAAAATAAAAGTTTTATAAATCATTTAATTAATTCAGTAAATGCAAACTGGATCTATCAATAACATTTCTTTCTCAATCAAATACAAACTGGATGTATCAATTACATTTTCTTTCTTAATCAAATACAAACTGGATCTATCAATTACATTTTCTTTCTCAATCAAATACATTTGAAGTTAAAATTAAGGAGATTCATTGTACCCTCCAGTTAGACTTAAGATGCATCACAAATGTACATTATTAGTCATTTCTAGCACATTTCTAGTACATTTTTATGTTTGAAATGTACTTTCTTTTGTAATCTTACATAATTTTAAGTGTAGACGTTTGATATTCAAGTTAGCAACAAATAAAATGATTATTTTTGTAATTTTAGAGCAAAAATCTTTCTTATTGATTTGGATTTTCTAACATGAATTAACTTTCTTATTGATTTGGATTTTCTAACATGCTTCTTATTCATTAAACTATCCAGAATTTGGCATTTCCTCAGTTTTCCAGATAGTCGAGCCTTTACTGTACATGCTTTATATACGTCTGTATGCTATATTATACAATACAAAATTTTATGTACGAGGGTAAGTTGAAAAATAAGTTTCCCCTGTCGACTGTGGTCAGAGTTGTGTATAAAAGTCAAAAAATAGAATGAGACATTAAAGATATGACATACCTTTATTTTATTATTCTCGTACGAGTATGTTGAGACATCATATCGCTTGATAAACTTCAAAAAGTCCTCCAAGAAAAATTCACGCTTTGCATATGGAAGAAGCGTTGAACGGCTATGGGCGAAAGGCGACACAGCAGGAAAATGCGCAAGTCACCGATACACCATTGGGTAGAGGTCGCTGCAAATCAAGCAGATGGTGCTGTTGCAGTGCCTGCGCAAAGCGGAGACCAGCCTCTCATTTGAGCCCCGGTAGGTATGGAGAGAAGGTGCGTTTTGAATTCGTGGTCAAAGGAGGAAGTGAGAGCGGTTATCCGCTATGAATGGGCACGTGGAGTATCAGGAACAGAAATTCATAACCGCCTCGTGGAAGTCTATGGTCCAGGTGTGATGTCGAAGCAAATGGTGCAGAGATGGTGTCGCACATTCAGTGATGGACGTCAGCAAGTGGAGGACATACCGAGAGCTGGACGGACGCGCATGGCCACTACAGATGCAAATGTCAGGAAGGTGGATGACATGATTAGAGTGAACCGGCGTATCACCATCAATGAAGTAGCGGAAGAAGTTGGAATCTCACATGAGCGAGCTCAAAACATCATCCACGACTTTCTTCGATAGAGAAAAGTGTCAACACGATGGGTGCCCCGACAATTGACCTCAACACACAAGGAACAACGCATGGGGGTCAGCCTGGAACATCTCGTGCGTTACCACGAAGATGGCAATGACTTTCCGTTTCGGATTGTGACGGGGGATGAAACGTGGGTCCACCATTTCACGTCAGAATCGAAGGCCGCATCTATGGAGTGGAAACATCCGTCATCACCTGTCCGAAAGAAGTTCAAGACAACTCCCTCTGCAGGTAAAGTGCTCCTCACAGTTTTCTGAGACGCCCAAGGAGTTTTGTTGCTGGACTTTTTGGAGGTTGGAACCATCAATGCTACGCACTACCGTGACACCCTGTCGAAATTGAAAGAGGCGATTCGGAAAAAGCGGCCTGGCCTTCTCACATCTGGCGTTCTGCTGTTGGATGACAATGCCAGACCACATTCGGCGACGGCAACGCAAAACCATATTGCAACTCTTGGTTGGGAGCGCCTACACCATCTGCAATACAGTCCTGATCTCTCACCAAGCAACTTCCATCTGTTTCCGGCTTTGAAGGAAAATCTCAGGGGAAGGCGCTTTGGAAGCAATACTGAAGTGAAACAAACCGTTCAACGCTTCTTCCATATGCAAAGCCCTGATTTTTTCCTGGAGGGCTTTTTGAAGCTTGTCAAGCGATATGACAAATGTCTCAATGTACTTGGTACCTATGTGGAAAACAAAGGTATGTCATATCTTTAATGTCTCATTCTATTTCTTGACTTTCATACACAACTCTGACCACAGTCGACAGGGGAAACTTATTTTTCAACTTACCCTCGTATATTGCAATTTTCCAATGATAAATTATAATAATAAAAATTAGATGATTTATATTGCATTCAACAGTTTTCTGACATTTTGGTAAAAATGTAAAGTACTAGACAGCTTGAAGCTCTTTTTAATACCTCAATTTGCAGACAATATTCAGATTTTTTTTAATTCCCCCAAACCAGGATCAATCCACAGGCTTAGCCTTTCTTTTCCTTTATATAGTTCAAAATTCTGAAGCAATTTATCCTTATTTATAGTAATTTAAGGCTTACTAATCCTTGCATGACGAAGTAATTCAAGGAAAATTTGAATCCATTACAGTGCAAATCAGATTAGAGAAGAAACAGCATCTGAAGCAAAACAATATTAGTCAAATCATTATTTATATTGTTATCCCTAAAATCACCATAATTTTAATCACAGATCACTAGAAAAATTTTCTGCAGTTTCACTCCCATTATAAAAATTGTAAAAGTATTTATGTAGACTTAATACAACTTTTTATAGTGGAATGTTCTAAAACTCTGAATCCGAATTTGGAAGTTTCCAAACTTATTAAAGAGAATTAATCTAATGTCAATTTTGTGGACAAAATTATTGTTCTAAAAATTAAATTAAAATTAATGACGGGATTTCATTCATGCAAGAACTTACTTATCAGTTCCATTATACTTTTCATTTTCTTGCCGATGCTCATTAAATCGCATGAAACCACTGCGAGTTGCAACAAATGTATGTGTTATTCCAAACATCTTCCCAAATTTGTCTCTGAAAAAAATCCCCGTCTAATGCTATAAGAAAGTGTTTTCTTTAAAACATTAATACATATATTTTTTTTTAAACTGAAAACATTTAAAATTAAAGGTATATGTTTCCTCCAATTGATATAAATATGGAATAAAATGAAATCAAAAAGTACATTGCAAACATTCTGATAAACATAATTCACATACTTCAGAAAATAGGATAACTAATGCTTTTTAGACATTATTAAAAATTTATTGCAAAAACTTAACTTTCTTTAAAAATCAATGCATGCATTGATTATAGCTAAAAATCAAAGGAATTCTACGTTTAGCAGATATTGAGAGAAAAACATGGACTTCGAAAATTTGAGAAAGTTTACTACACCATAAAGATACTTCATAACAATTAAAATAAATCTTAAAAAAATTTTTTTATTCGTCATTATATACTAATGGAAATTTCAATGCTTATTTTGTGAACTATGCAAGAACTATGCAACAAAGCACTCGACAATTTTAGTGTATCATTGCATTATAACAGAAAAATATAACATAACCAATGGTAATAGATAAAGAAAGATTCATTTAAAGCTTAGAAATTTTTGATAGGCTTGGAATTCATGACAAGTAATATGTCTATTTTATAATCTAGTTCACTGCACTCAGTTCCTTAGTCCATTTGAGTGGTACTGAACTATTTAAATTCCATTAAATCACAAATCAAGAAGATACAGCTCCACTCCAAAGTATAACTTAAACTTGTCTCAATGAAGACACCTAACACATAGGATTAACAGTGTAATTGCTAAAACCAAGCATATTCTCCCTAGTCACCTTACTAGCCAATAGCTAACAAGGGCCGGCACCAGAGCATGTGTAACAGGTGCAGCTGCACCGAATAGTAGAATTTAGGAGCGGCAGGGGCGTAGCTAGAGGAGGGCAAGGGGGGCATCTGTCCCCGGGCGCAGAATCCAAGGGGCGTTAAACTGATGTTACGACATTTTAGAATTAAATGTTTTCCATCCTTGGCAAGCAGTAGGGGGCGCGAAATCTTCAGTTGTCCCTGGGCACTGAAAACCCTAGCTACGACTCTGAGGAGCGGCAAAATTTGTAAAATTTAGATTATCACTAGACTGCAGAATTTGGGAATCACAGTGATTGCACTGAGTAGCGAAAAGCCTAGTACCGTCATTGAGGCTAATGACATTTCTTTCCCTGCAGCTTTATAAGGACAATTACACAGCATTTGTGCCATCTTGATTTGAGATTTAATGCAATTTGTATAGCACATTAGTGAGTTAAGCATTATGGTGTATTAGGAAATAATGAAGCGAAAATGGGCTGCCGATTTGAATTAAATACATATTAAGAAGAGCAAGCACACAAGGATATAAAGTTTATCGCGATCTTAATTTTTCATAACAACATTAAGTACAATAGCTTCCAAAAGGTAAGCATGCAACAGTAAAATCACCAAAAGTTGGAAAAGTAAAGCCTTGATTAACATCGTTACGAATTTTGTACATATGTAAATAATTTTAGTGGAATTATATGTGAAGTTTTTGTATTTTTTGTATAATGTAACATGAAAATCTAAAGAAGCAAAGCTTTGCCAGAAAAGTAAGAATATAAGCGCATGTCTATTTAACATTGAGTTAATGACTATCTCGCTAAACTGGCGAGTCGCCAGTTTAGCGATTCAATATTCTGTATTCAATATTCCACTATGAATATTTAAAAAGCGGATAAATCATAACAGTCGAGGTCTACTCTTCAAAACTGCAAAGAGTTTTAGTTGCAGTGCATCAGAAGCAGCCAGCACTGGTAACAGAAAATAACTGTTCTTTCTTCATGAGGGGGGAAGACCAGACCCTCAAGCTGCGTTCACACTGGCGCGGCAACGCGTTCGCGCGTAAAGTGTTAACCAAAGAGGGGATCATAACACTGGGTTGGGAAGTTCTGCCTCAGCCAGCCAGCCACCCCATTCCCCAGACATCTTCCCATCTGACTATAGCCTATTTTTGGCCATGGTAGTTACTAAGTAACTGCGGGAACAACAGTTCCAAAAACGTAAAATGTCAAAAAAGCTGTATCACAATTTTTGGACGCCCTCAAAAAAGGATATTTTTGAAAAGGGCATTATAAGCTTGCGTCTCATTGGCAACATGTAACTGAAGCCAATGGTGATTATTTCAAAGAAAGAATTGGTGTTTAAGATTTTCGTGCGCCGTTTTTGTAGAGTGACGAAAAGAGCACGAACTTTTTTGGTTACCTGATAGAAATCTCTCGTCGTCCGGAAGAAATAGTTTGAAGTGTCATTAGTGATTGTATTCTGTGATGAGCTGTAGGACTATTTTTTAGGAAAGTTCCATAGCTGTGAAGTGCTTTTTCAAATAAAATAATTTTTTTTCAAGCTATTATCAATTCTTCGTGCACTGAATCTACGAACCCGTATGCATGCTACAATATCAAATTGCAAATGAAGGTAGAACACGCATTTATATATTGTATGCATAAAAAAAAAATAAAGTACTATATATAAAGATGAAAATAGTATTTAATTTCTGTAAATTTGTAAAGTGTATGTTAATTTTTCTAACAGTTATTTTTTTAGTTAAAAGTTACTTTCCCATCTTCCTGAATTTCAGCTTACAGGTTCCGGCCAGAACGTATTTTCAGAATCGCGTTTGAATGCAAATGAGGAGAAGTATTTAACTGTGAAGGTCTACTGACTTTGCCAGAGGGAGAGCCAGTGATTCTGACTAGCGTGCGTTCGTCTTTTTGGCTATACTCTCTCTAAAGCTATTTCTATGATCGGCCGTATTTTAGGCCCTTGATAGCTTCGCCGTTAAATAGTGTTAAGGGGTCAACTCTGTTAGAATCTTGATAGCTTCGGCTATATCTTTTTAGTTAGATTAGTTAAATTTTAGTTCTTTGTTTCCTGAGTTCAAGTCCGAGTGGAGGTTTTATTGTAATTCCAAGAAAGGAGTCATCTGTTAAACTTTATTTGGAATAATAAAGGGTAATTAAACCCTTCTCACGTTTTGTTCTCCGTCTCAAGAACTCAAGCAATTATTCACTTATCAGTTCTTAAGGTTCCTCATTTAAACTGTAACTTAAAGGTACACAGGTTGGAATCTTACAAATTATACGATGATATCTCATTTGTGCCATTAACAAACTGATTTTAAAGCTAAAAACAAACAAACAAAACTTACATTAATAAGGAAGTGACCACCCAAGACCTTCACACAAATTTTACAGTTATTGCCCACGCTTTGAATGCGGTGATTAATAGTCATATCTACTAGGGCAGTTTCGAACTGTCTTAGACTGAATGGAAGAGGTAAACGTGCCCAAGGGCATCCTACAAACTTTCAATGGGATTAAGGTTGCGGGAATATGGCAGCCACTCCTTATGAGAAATACACTCCTTCTCTATGTACTGATTAATGATGTTGGCTGAACGAGGATAAGAAATAAGGAAGGAATCAGGACTAATCGCAGCACAGTTTTATAAGGTATTTCTCCCACACATTTCTTCCACAGCCTTCGTGGTGTAACGGTAGCACGCTAGGCCGATATTCCAGAGGTCCGTGGTTCGATTCCCGGCGAAGGCGGTTGCATATTTTTTTATCTTGTCTGCTTCCAATTAACCTAATGACTCTACAGTTTCACAGTGGAGTATATGATTTTAACCCAATCCCACACAATCCCCAATACAGCTATCTCAGAACCATCTTTATAAATATGCAGCTGGGTGCAATATCCCATTGAGATTCCAAGCCACACTATGATGCTGCCACCTCTGAACGTTTAATGTTTGATGATGTTGTGAGGCTCATTCCGTGTGCCTTGTTCTCTCAGACCCTTGCACACTTATCAACTGATTCTAGGGCAGATCTGGACTCACACATGAACAGAACATTGCGCCAATCTGAGAAGCTGACGATAACCCTTTAAATTTACCCCTCTAGACCCAGCCGTTAGTGGAACAAAAACGCTTGGTACTATGGTGCACAGTTTCTTCATGTGAAGATTTCAGTGGCAGATATTGTCTCACCAACTAATGTTGAAACCATGGATTTAACAGTTGTTAGCGTCTGATTCTGCTAAGTAGCTATAGAAATATTCTAATCGTCAGAATGGTCAGAACCTTCGGCCAATCAGCACAGGTCTCCGGACAACTGCGATTCGTTTTGTTTGTTTTTTTATTTGAGAAATTATTGAATAATCAATGCCAAAGAAAAGAGTGATATCTTTTAAAAACTACCAAAAACACTGGCAGAAGCTCGTATATTTGGGGTTGATTACTACCCGTAGTAAAGCTACCGCTTTCACGTCTTTTTCTAACTTTATTAAGAAGTTCTTTTTTGCGGAAAACTTTCACAAACATTTTCACAAGTCTTATAATGGAAAAACAGGTGTTAGTAATCAAATAATTATTTAAAGTGTTAATTTACTAAGTACTTGTTTCTAACTAAACAAACATCAGATTAAAAGGAAAACATTTCAGGAAATGAAAGAACGAAAAGGGTAAGTGTACCTGCAGTGGGAATGTACAATAGAGGGTCACAAAGTTTTCAAGGTTGAAAAATACGAGTTACTTGTTGCTAAGTCATTTACATATTCCCAATTTTTGTTAACGACTTGAATAATGTAAAAAAGCAATATATATTTTTAAGAAGCTATTAAATTGATTTAGATGAAAATACATAGAGATGACTCATATTAAATAACTGAAATATAAGAGAGTAATAGCTGGCTGTTTGACACCTTTATTTATTACATTACAAAAGCAGTGTTTCACTAGACTGCTAATTTGTGAATTGGAAGAATATTTTTTAGAAGTGATAGAGCAAAGGAACTTTTTTGATTCATACTTGCTATTTTCACCAAGAAATAAATTTTCATTCATAATTTTTTTCCTGTGAAAATATATGTCATATTTCTATTTAATTGTATTTTTAATAATTTGTACATAAAGAAATAAAATTAATATTTAATTAATTCTGAAGGAAAGCCCACTGCTGGATCATTATTTTTCATACTATTCTAGAAGCGAGTTACCTGGTCGATGACTAAA